TAATGTACATACGTTAAAATTCTACGTTAAGAATGACCAAAAAAATTGGAACATTCTGGTGGCAATTTGCTATGGGTGTGCAATTCCGAAATACAACCTATAAGGATGGAAACCAATATCGATTTAAGGTAAATGTAATGTCAACTTTCCACAAATTTCTTTTATATTACCTTGTGGACTTTCCGTTTTTATGAGACATACAAGTATGAGTTTTATTTTTTATTTCTTGTATTGTCCTTTTAATACAGTTCAACCTGTGAAAATAAAAATTGGTCATAAATTCCCTTAGCTAGTAATTCATTATTCCTTCACAAATCTTTCCTTTTAATTCATTGCTTTTTCAGACTACTTCCATACGTAATGTCAGGGAACACATTTCTTCTTCCTGAAGATCCTTACGGCCCTAAAGGTCCATCCTTATCTGAATGTTTAACAATATCAAATTCAACCGAGGATTAATCGGGTTAATCTTATTATCTCTTTTTTGTTCTTTGATTGCTACTTTATTTAATCCAAGTTTCGTGAGAAACAGGAACGAATGATTATCTTCATCTTAAATTATTGGTTTATTTCTTTTTGTATAAAACGCTCCAGAAATTTTTTATTTATGAATTTAGAGAAAACTTTCATCTATTCAAGTTACTTAAAGTGTTTTTTGTTACTTTCTTGTCTTCTATTCGCTCAATAAATAAAACGTTTAAGTCGTGAAATAACTGTAGTATCTGTATTTGAGGATAATTTAGTCATCAAATGAAAGTGATCAAAATGTTATTTCCACCTGTTAATCAACCCTATTCTTAGTTGTGATACTTCTGTAATCGAATCGATCATTTCAGTTAGGTCAGAAACATAATTTATTTTGATTAATATATACATTTACAGAATTTTTTTTACTACATATATACATATCACACCAAGTTTCATTAAAATGCAAATACAATGTAATTATATAGGCGATCAGATATGCTTTCCAAGTTGAACTACATAACAATATCTGCTAGCGCAAAACCTCCGTGAACACAACATCATATATGAAAACCGAGCGTGATGAAATCACATTCATTTAGATTATCGGTCTAATTCGAAATTACGTAATCCAAAGTAATGATTTTTGTCTGAACACAGTCACTCTTCAATGTGGACATACATAAAGAGCCTTAAGCTAACCAAATGTCACGTCATAATTTTTTAATTACTGATTGCTTTTGAGCGTTAAACATTGCTAATTACGTTAATCACAGTCACACATCAAAATATCATTTTAAAATTTCACCCTAAGCGATTCAATAGTACTCAATTAATATAAAGCAGGTCTTAGTAATATTTGCATATTGCTCAAATCGTAGCGCTTTAAAAATGGCAAGTGAAAAAAACGAGTGGTAATAACAATGGTATGTGTGAATCGAAATAAAGAATAGATGAATCAGCGTGAGCAAAGAAAGACATGATCATATGCTTTTTAATATGTAAAGGTAAGGAATATATATTTGCCTATCATAAGTTGCAACCGTACCACACTGTTTCTTTACAATTGTTTACGACCGTCCTTATCTGAATGTTTAACAATATCAAATTCAACCGAGGATTAATCGGGTTAATCTTATTATCTCTTTTTTGTTCTTTGATTGCTACTTTATTTAATCCAAGTTTCGTGAGAAACAGGAACGAATGATTATCTTCATCTTAAATTATTGGTTTATTTCTTTTTGTATAAAACGCTCCAGAAATTTTTTATTTATGAATTTAGAGAAAACTTTCATCTATTCAAGTTACTTAAAGTGTTTTTTGTTACTTTCTTGTCTTCTATTCGCTCAATAAATAAAACGTTTAAGTCGTGAAATAACTGTAGTATCTGTATTTGAGGATAATTTAGTCATCAAATGAAAGTGATCAAAATGTTATTTCCACCTGTTAATCAACCCTATTCTTAGTTGTGATACTTCTGTAATCGAATCGATCATTTCAGTTAGGTCAGAAACATAATTTATTTTGATTAATATATACATTTACAGAATTTTTTTTACTACATATATACATATCACACCAAGTTTCATTAAAATGCAAATACAATGTAATTATATAGGCGATCAGATATGCTTTCCAAGTTGAACTACATAACAATATCTGCTAGCGCAAAACCTCCGTGAACACAACATCATATATGAAAACCGAGCGTGATGAAATCACATTCATTTAGATTATCGGTCTAATTCGAAATTACGTAATCCAAAGTAATGATTTTTGTCTGAACACAGTCACTCTTCAATGTGGACATACATAAAGAGCCTTAAGCTAACCAAATGTCACGTCATAATTTTTTAATTACTGATTGCTTTTGAGCGTTAAACATTGCTAATTACGTTAATCACAGTCACACATCAAAATATCATTTTAAAATTTCACCCTAAGCGATTCAATAGTACTCAATTAATATAAAGCAGGTCTTAGTAATATTTGCATATTGCTCAAATCGTAGCGCTTTAAAAATGGCAAGTGAAAAAAACGAGTGGTAATAACAATGGTATGTGTGAATCGAAATAAAGAATAGATGAATCAGCGTGAGCAAAGAAAGACATGATCATATGCTTTTTAATATGTAAAGGTAAGGAATATATATTTGCCTATCATAAGTTGCAACCGTACCACACTGTTTCTTTACAATTGTTTACGACCGTCCTGTGCATCTTATCTAGTAGGTCTATATCCCCTTACGTAGCATAGACCGATAACCATAGGCTAATCCCATGTCTTAACTTAGTCCCCACTCATAATGATGGGCATCTGCAGAAACAAAACACGCGAGAAAAAACGGAGTTAATATAACTTCTCATAACCATCTAGTGGTAGCCAAGGTAGAGCTGAAGCTGAACAGACATTGAACACCTGAGCACCAGCACAACAAAAGTATAATATAACCTTCCTTCAAGACTCTGACTAGCCCACCGAGTTCAAGACAGCTCTCAGAAACAGCTTCCCATTTTTACAAGATCTACTAGAGAAAGAAGGAACCACTATGGTGATCAACTGGGGCAGCGCTAAAGAAGTAATAAATTCAGCATCCCACTTGTTGGGGCCAATGAAGCACCAGCGTAAAAATGCATCTTTGTAAACACCGTTAGGAAAACTCCACAAGAACGGAAAACAAAGAGGCAACAATCAACAACGGACGAACAAACCCAGAGAAATCCGAATATACAGAAGCAGATAGACGAGTGAAGCGGGATATTAGCGATGACAAGGGGAAACGCTGTAAGAAAAGGACGCATGAGAGAAATGTGTGACACAACCAAGAAGCTTGTAGGGAAGTACAGTGGAGCACAAAGACCAGTCAAGGACAAAAAAGAGAAACTAAGCACTGGAACGAGTGGGTAGAGCACTTTGAAGAGACCAGCACTACTGCACATCATTTTACGCCAACTTAGTTGATTATGATAAAGTTTCCGGCATAAACCATAGGGAAAGCTCGTAGAAAAATATTTTATATTCTAGAGTACCTTACGTTGTCACCATCATGCCGAACTTCTCTAATGGACGCGATCGCAGGGTCGCACATTCTGGGAGTCCACAAGTGCATTCAAAGTGAAAACTGCTGTTAAACAAGATTGTTCCCTTTACAAATTTTCTTTTCCCGCTAGCTGCTGACTCGATTGGAAGTCAATACGTCGGGAAAATCACAGTTGGATTATTCTGAATTCGTCCTGTTACCGCACGCGTAGCAAAACGTACAGTGTCGCAGTGGTTTCTTCAGTAGTTAGTCTCAACCAACGGAAAAAGAAAGGCCCTGAGATGAAACACAGTGAGCATCAACCAAATCACACCTGGTGAAAGGATTATTGAAGACGTCGATGCCTTCATATACTTGGGCATGATCATCGATAAACAAAAACAATCTAATGCAGATGTGGAGGCAGTACTTGAAAAAGCAGAGATATCATACCTACAATATGAGCATATCTTGAACTTTCAAGAACGATCACCCAAGTCAGAATCTTCAATATCAACGTTAGAACAATTCAAATGCACGGAGCTAAAACTTGAAGAGTTACCAACAGCACCATTAAACGACTATCTACGCAAGATACTAGAAACGCATTGCTCAGACATCAGTGATAACCTACTGTGACAGAGAACAAATCAGTTGCCAGTTGAGGAAACTAGAAAGAGATTGAATCTATAACGCCTGTTCCACTTCTAGCACCTATCCATATCTACATATAATGCTTGAGAATTAAGGCTGTATCGAGGCAATACGCACATATGCCAATAAGAGACTGATCAATTTCAGTCCTAAACATTAATGGGGAGATCCAAACAAACAATACCAAGTGAATTTAAACTTCACCCCATCGCACAAGCAAGTGGGTATCAGGGCTCAGTAGCTAAGTGGATAACGCGATGGCGTTTGGAGCGAATGGTACTGAGTTCGAGTCCCAGGGTGAACATCAACTCTGAGATGACACGCGTATCCTGGACTCTAGTACTAGCCACCATCTATCTTTGATTATAATATAAGTAATACCTAGGGTCCGGCGTACATACGTATTGACTTTAGCAGTCAGCATTGCACATCTAGACAACTCACAAAATGTTCATCAAGAGAAGCAAACAACGGTGAAATGAGATTTTATCAATACTAACCGTATTGGGCTGATTTACGATAGATTCTTAGAACTTAAACAGAAAATAAATGTCCACTTAAAGCTAACGTGGTATCACAAGATAACTGGCTACCTCTTCGGACTTCGCAGACAACGTGCCAAACATTCTCAAAAGCAAACAGAACAGTTCACCCGGTTTGACCTACTGGGGGACCCATGTTCACAAATAGTGGAAACTGCGCTAAAACTGATGCGTAATTATGCACCTTTCTGGCATCGCTTGTAAGTAGTTTGGCCAGGATTTCGACTTAATGCAATGTAACTGAGTCGCGATAACGTGACCAACGTAATATCCATCGTTATGTTTGAAGTTAATGAGAGAATTAGCATGGAATACAAGTTCTGAAACAACAATTAATGTCTTTTAAACAACATTCCAAAGAAAACATTTCGGATATTTGTGTTTACAAATGTACATATTAAGCAAAAGTTTAAACACTAGTTTGAAATGCTTTGGGAAATCGACCGGAACAGTATTGAATTCAAGTTTAATTTTTACGTCTTCGTTTATTAGGGCTATTCTTGGTTTTATTGTTAATACTAGAGGACTGAGTTGTAGTATTTGAACCATTTTGTATAAAATCACATAATAAACCACGACTATTCGCATCAGAATTATGGTATAGTCGGAATAAAAGACTGGGTGGTGGAGCAGGCGGTAAATTAGCTTCATCATCACTAACAAGTATAAGACTTTCTTCATGAGCATCATCGTAGGAACCTGAGCCATTTCTTGACCCAATACTATGAATATTAAGACACTGATCGCCATCAATATTTCTCTCTGTCGTTGTAATTGTATTCAAAGGAAGTTGTGACTGAAACACAAAACTAACTTTTACTGACGACTGTTGATTATTATTACAAGATTTCATATCTAGAGATTGATTGCTATTAACATTTAAGGAAGCTGAGGTATGAGCACGTAGAGCTGGAGGCATAGTACTTGGATTCATGACACATGTTTTCTTATGACCAGGTAAAAGGGATAACTGTCCAATAAAATCACATCCAAGTGCACGCCAAGGACATGCGACCTGAAGGGAAAATTAATGTATTGCAAAAATGAATAGTAAAATGAAAAACAAATATTGTTATCACTGAATCCATAGCAAATGTACTGGATTCAAGTTTATCGTTGCAACAATTTAAAACAGTATAAACAACTTACTGAAAACAAAAACTGCTCATTGACACAAACATTAGACTATTTAGTTGGCGAAAATATGGCAAATCCTAATACAGTTGGATTTAGTCTGAGGATAAAGTACGAAGTCGCACTGCTAACCATATCGGGATGTAGTGGCAGTAACGTCTTTCCCATAGAAAGTCAACATCTTGAGATATCCTGATATCAAACAAACGGAAGGAGGGATAAGTGAAATTCAGACTTAAAAATTACACAACCTTTCTTTCCTCACGAGCAAACCGAGCTGGCAGAAGATTTAAAAACTAAGTCAACTCTAAAGAAGTAATCGTAAATATAATCGTGTAGCTGGTTGACTGCAGATGTTTCTTAGCTTGAAATAATTAGGCTTCCAAATATATTAAGTGTTCAGCATTAATTTTATACGTTTACAATCAATAAACATTTACCCTTACTATTATTATTATTATTATTACTATGATCAGCCGTGAAGTAATGACAGTTTATAAACCTTTAGCATTTCTTTCGTTCATGCTCTTCACTATCAATTTCTTTTATTTGTTACTATTTTTCATTTTCCAAATTTACAAACCGCCTTAACAAATTATGGAAAGACATTCCTAGTCTTTTGAAATCATTTTCCATAACACACAGAGATCCTAATATTCAGGCTCTGTTTTAAATCAGACGCACTAGCCAGAACTCCAAAATCTTGGCATTCGTGAATACGTCTCCGAAACTCGTACAAAGGATACAAAATTTATTACTTGCATGGTCTAACATGATTAGTAGGACTGATCTATTGAGTTGTCGCAGGCTACATAGCAAATATTCATCATCCCACTTCTGAACAGAATCCCAACGGACAGTCGATCATACGTTGACTAAATGGAACTGAAAGTTCCAGGAAAGATTAAAATACACCAAATTAACCAGACTAATTCGAACAGAAAATACTAAAACAGTCCTTTCTTAATCCTAACCAGCGGAATAGGTAATTGACGGCTTGATACAACCATACTCGGATGATCATTTATTTCAAGTAAGTACCAAACTTTAGACACAAGTAGAAATACTTCCTAACCTGGTGATGACCGCCACCAACTTAACACTGAAGCTAAAGAGATTCTACAGTAATAACCATCTAACAGATGATTCCCTGATAACTCATAATTCAGTCCCAATTATTCTTAAGTGGAAGCATGTATAGATCTAAAAGTGACATAACACAGGAAAACCAGAACTTTATGATTAATTCGAAGATGGAAATGTTAAGAGTGTATATCAAATAGTCGGTAAAAAATAAGTGGGACATGAAAGGAATTTTCGTCCATAAAAATGGGAAATAAAAATTACCAATCAATAGTAAACCCTACTGGATCGAGACTACTACTCACGTAGAAGCGTTTCAAACAGGAGAAACTTTAGTGTAAGCTGAAAAAAAGTCTGCGAGATAAACGTAACCAGTGATTATTAGTGCATGAAGGATAAAGGAAAGTCAGTGGAAGTTGATATATACTACCTAGAATTATCAAGAGAATTTACGAAATTATTAAACGCTAAATAAACACTAAATTTTGAAGGGTGGAGAGTGATTTTTGTAACGTATGTTATACTGACATAGAGGTCATTTAGATAATTTAAATAAGTTCGCATGTTACATTAGGATTACTTTTCTTGAGATAGAAAGTTGATGATCTGTCAACAACGCATAAATAAATGATTTACAAACTGCAGAAGAGAATGTCTGATACATAGGTCAAATCTTGTAAGTTTTCCCACGTTTACACAAAATTGTACGATTCATATACATTTCTTTGAAAGTTATTTTTTCAGTAGTTTTCTTAGATAATTACATGAATATTCCAATTTTCGTGAACCTATTTAAAGCACGAATCAAAGTAGTTATATGAAAAATGTTAAACAGGCTTAATCGTTGAGATGTCTGGACTTTAATCGATGAGCAACATGCTAGAAATTCGCTCTACATGAACCTGTTCATATACAATAAGTATACATATGAATATGTAATTAGCGAATCAACAATGAATTAGTTTCGTTTCTGATGGAATTTCGCTGTTTATCTTAATTAAATTCACAGCACATAACTTTCTCATTGGTTTCACTTCAAGTCTGAAAGAAAAGACAATCTAATCATTAGGAATACGGAACAAAACAATACATTGAAGCAGAAATAGGAACCGTATGATTCTTTGAACCAAATGTAACAAAATGACTTACCATATAATCACCTATTATATTTTCTACAATGAAATCATGATGCATTGATGCTTTTGGAATCGGTTTACGGTCCACCGGACAGTTAGGAGTATTTTGAATCCAGGGCTCAATACACTGAAAGTATATAAAAGTAACTTTGAAGATATTTACCGTTTGGTAAGAATTATCTGGTGTATAGACGATATTTTCTTATGTGTAAAGAATAGATATTAAATGCTAGATGTAAATCAATTTCTTTAGACATAAGAACTACTTCACTATGTGTCACAATAGCGAGGTTGAGACGAAGGTTACGGTCACAAGTGCTCGACTTTCGGGTTAAAAATGTGGATCTAAAAATACTGCAAACTAAATGATGTGAATTTATAAGACGAGTATTAAATGTGCTGGAACCTCAATAACATACATTTTGTATACAAGTAAATCTAAAGACCGAGGACTAACATTCGATTTTTAGAAACTAAAAACATAAGCCAAACAGGACTGGTACTTTGACAAGAAATTACCTTTATCATCTTAATAAAGTATCCTAAACAACTCGCTGGAAAATTCCCATTATATTAAAACACAATTATATGGACGAAGAATCTTCTTTTCAATAATTTCTCATCAGGTTCTACAATTATAAATTCAAATTAATAATCCATAGAATTGGCCAAATTTAAGGCAGAGTACATCATTTGGAAATTGTAGTATGTAAATTAAGAATTGTTGTTTGTTATATAAAACCAAATCAGATCGCTAATGTTGGAGCTGACTAATATGAAGTGCTAACTTGAATCAGTTTATAAGCGAAATGAAATGGTGCGATAAATAATCAGAATAAATATGGTCAACATGGGGTGAGAGAGAAAATAATGGAATAAAAATCGGAAATTGCGTAATATGTAAAATAATATGTGGATTTAGGGGTGGATATTGAATAAATTCCTCAAAAAGGTTATCAAGTGTAATGATAATAATAATAATAAGTTTGGAACATAAAATGAACATTAATCAAATTACGCCCGACCTGAGCATTCAAGTCTCCAGCTAGTACTACAATATCTGTCGAACGCACTTTCTGGAGAAGAACAGTTAACTGGTGGTAGAACTCATCCTTGATTGCATCCGGGCTGCAATCTGTCGAAGCATAGGCGGAGAGGACGAAAAGACATCGTTTCTCACACCGATTTCTTCTCACTTTGATGGAACTTTCTAATCTAACAGCACATAACCGACTGTTAGTGGGGATCCAGTCGATTAGTGCTGCCTCAGCTCTAGCGCTTAGTGCGACACCAACGCCAGCAAGACCAGACGAAGATGCCACAGGGTCCCCGGATAAACGCACATAAAACAAGCTTTTTGAAGTGACAGATGGAGAGCGAATTTGTAGTACTTCACCAGTCTTGAATACGGGTCTCGGATAGACAACAAACGTCAATATTAATACTTTCCAAAGACATAGCCAGCCCTATCTGTTGTCCGACCTGCATAAGTGTGCGAACGTTGAAGGCAGCCAGTTTGAATGGTGCGCGTGGTTTCAGAAAGACTGCTTCAGTACTCTTATTCGATGGTAACATACATAATACCTTTGTTTCATCTTCGATCGTATCCACAGAGCATATAGTCTTGATTCTATGATGCAGTGTCTCAATGAGGTTCCTTTTGTATTGTAGAGGAACAAAACTAAGAAAGTTTGTATATTGACCCGTCAAGGTAATTTTCCTGTTTATGTTTCTTTTTAGCGACCCGTCCTTCCTCCTTGTAAGTAGGACATTTAGAAAGGCTATTCTATCCCGATTTTCCTTCTCCCATAAGGTTTTTGTGGACGGGTGAACTGTATTGAAACGCTCGAGTGTTTCTATTCCGTCCATCTGGTTGTTGCAAAGGATAAACGTATCATCCATATATCAGCAGTAAAATGAAAACTTATCGATCTCTTGTGCTAGTGGGCCGTTTTCTAGTTTAGCGAGGAAGATGCCTGCCAATATGGGACCTAGGGGTGAACCCATCGCGACCCGATCTATTTGTCTCTAGATTTCACCACTGAATTTGAAATGTACATTCATAGTACATTTTAGTAATAATTCTTTGATGACCTCCACAGGGATTGTCGTTTCCAGTTCCTATTCTCTAAGTTGTTCATAAATATATTCTACAGTTTCTCTGAGTGGGACATTTGTGAACAATGATGTTACGTCAAAGGACACCATCGTTTGATCTTTCGTGTTTATGTTTTTAATCTTATCAACGAATTGGAATACACATGCTTAATACTATGTTTCCCCAGGCGTTTATGGAGTGGTTTCAAAACGGTTACTAACCACTTTGCTACAGTATGATATGGGGAATCGTACATGTCAAAAATTGGCCTTAATGGGATATCCGGTTTATGTATCTTCGGCAGTCCGTATAACTTAGGTAAATGCGTACCCATCGGCTTAATTGTTTCGTATATGTCTGGTGGAATCATCTGTTGATCTCTGAGCTTTTTTAAAGATCTGGTCAGTTCATTCTCTATTTTATTATTGACATATTTTTGGTTACTCAGTTTCTGAAATTTTTGAAGATCATTCAAGATGTTATTTATCTTGTCAACATAATCTTTTTTGTTAAGTAAGACAGCTCCTGTTCCTTTTTCAGGTTTTGTGATAATCAGATTCTCGTCACTAATGAGTTTATTGATAGCCTCCCTGTGTTACTTAGTTATATTTACCATTCTTAAACTGATAGCAGCAGTCAACCAGGTTTGATTTGAAATGTTCAAGTTCCTGATCAGACGTCAGAACTCGTCCTGACGTCTGACGATTTAGATTTTTAAATTGGATGTCCGTATCGATTTGATTTATACAGTTTCGTGTATCACAGAATTTTAGACCAAGTGCTAATACTCCAAGTTTTTCTTTATTTAATTCAGTACCGGAAAAATTATGCACATACCTTTTTTGGTTCAGTCGGAAATTTGTTTTCAACCGATTGATTTTCTAGGCTTTTGAGAAGTTGGATATGTTTTTTGTTTGATCGTTTCTTAGTTATTTTTGTGACGCACTCCATAAACTGAGACTTAAGGTCTTCTGTTAATCCATCAACTGCAAATCTTCTGCGAGCAATATTTACTTCTATCTCTGTCAAGTCATTAGTTAATGTGTAAATTCTGTTAAGTGCATAGCGTTTTGATGTTTTTCTATTTGGATGAATGTGATTACGGCGTAAAGTCTTATAGAATGAAAGTCGGAAATTACGTAATATGTAGAATAATATGAAATAGGTCAGATATAGTAGGTTTAGGGGTGGATATTGAACAAATTTCGCAAAAAGGTTATCAAGTGTAATCGTCCGACAATGGCGGTCTATCTTGACTTAAAAACAGCGTTTGACTCTGTTGACCAAGAGGTTCTGTGCCAATGCCTGTCATTGAAAGGCGTACCTCAGCAATACATAAACCTTGTGAAGGCTCTTTACTCGAACACTACTAATCGAGTGAGAGCTTATGGCGAACTGTCATCTGATTTTGCAACCTCAAGTGGTATCCATCAAGACTGTCCACTATCTTCATCATAGACCTACTGATGGGAATAACGTTCTGGTCGACTGAATTCTCGGGCATTGGTCTCCTTCCAGGAGGTCCACTTATTGACTTAGAATACGCAGATGACATAGTCCTGTTTGGTGAAGACGCTGATGAAATGCAGAGTCTTTTGGTAGCACTGAGCAACAATGCCAGGATGTTTTGGATGCGCTTTTCCCCCTCTAAATGCAAGTTGCTGCTTCATGACTGGTCTGCGTCAACACATGAACTAAGGATAGGGGGTGAAGTAGTCGAACGCGTCGACAACTTCACTTATCTTGGAAGTCTGGTCAGCCCTAATGGGTCAGTGTCTGACGAAATCTCAGCACGGATTCGAAAAGCTCGCTTGGCCTTTGCCAACTTACGTCATCTATGGCGAATGCGAGATATCCGTCTATCAATTAAGGGATGAGTATGCTGCGCGGCAGTTCGTTCTATTCTACTTTAAGGCTGCGAAACATGGCCTCTAAGAGTAGAAGATACTCGTAAGTTACCAGCATTTGACCACAAATGCCCTAGAAATGTTGCTCGCATTTTTTGAGATCGTCAGATAAGTAATAGTGAGGTTAGACGCAGGGTATTAGGGAATGATGATAAATCAGTTGATGAGGTTATGAACCTTCATCGACTGAGATGGTTGGGCCACGTGTTGCGTATGCCTGTACACCGATTATCACGACGCGCAATGCTGAATAGTGTAGGGGATTGTTGGAAGAAAGTTAGGGGCGGCCAAACTAAAACGTGACATCAGTGCTTGAAGTCACTAACTTCTGGTCTGAGCCATGTTGGTAGATGCAGACTGCCTGGTTGCGGTCCGCGTGACTATCGTAACCAATGGTTGGAGACTCTTGGTGACATGGCTCAGAATCGATCACAATGGCGTCGGTGTATACACTCTCTGTCTTCCTTTAAACTAAGAGATTAAAATCACTTCAAATCTTTCTTTCTAGGAACTAATTCTATCTTCCTGTACTATCTCCTTATACACACTCTTTCTTCTATATATTACCACCACTGAATTAACTACTTCTATGAATCCGGTGTTCATCTTGTTGTGCTAATGCGGTATGGCAACTTGGACCGATGCATATAAGTATCTGGTCCTACGTTGTAGCTGACTGACTGACTATCAAGTGTAATGACAATAATAATAATAACAAGGATAATCACAGTAGTAAAGATAATAATAATAAGTTTGGAACATAAAATGAACATCAAATTTCGTCACCGTATTATAAGGTTGATTATTAACTAGTTGGCCCCAAAGTTGACCAGGGTAAAAGGAGTAGCTGAACATATTTCTTTTGGTTGTAAAGCTCTGGCTTTTCGATCCGAATAGCAACAACTAATTGCGATCATCATGCGCACGCAAAATGATATGCCTATAACGACTACAGCACAGATCGGCAGTCAATGACTTAATATACGAATACCAGTTTCCAACCTACTGAAATCGAAGCAGAAATTGATGATCATACACGCCCCAACTAACTAGGATTATGACGAATCACACACTAGTAACTTTTCCCCGTATTTGGAAACAAATACTATAATTTATTTAGTAGCCCTGCTACACACCAACGATGTTTCTAGGACATTAATTATTCTACCCCCATGAGTGTACTACATTTTCATTGATAATGTTCAATACCAATTACGACATACAAAAACTCCGATTAGTAATGTAGCTTTTCAAAAACCAGACAGAATTTTACTACTCGAATAGTGTTAGCTCAAAGTTATTGTGTGATAATATAACTGACTAACTGAAATTAGTAAACTACTCACCAAACATTCGGTAGGCAATCATAAAAGTTCGTCTTACCTAAGTTACTGACTACAGGTAGTAAAAAACACGAAATTAAACAAGTAATTACGCACTTCTAAAGTACCACTTGTACGTAATTGGACAACCGAGTGATGTTAAAGTTATGATTATTTCCTAATTGAAGCGGCTTCCGGGTGGGGGGCGAAACTAGTAATATGTTACCGTACTTTTTCATTACATTACAAGCTGTCATAACAGAGGTGCATCAGATTGACTACTATATTATGAAACCAGTGAATATCGTACTTTATCACTACATGCATATATCTTTCCAAAAAACTTGTCAGGAAACGAATAAATGAAACACAATAGCATTATGAGGATAGAACTTTACGAAACACAAGGAACCTGCACTTTTATAAACCTCGGATGTACGATAAGTATGAACATAAAAAGCATTTATTCACAAACTTACATTCTTGCAAAAACTATGACCACAAGGAGCACGTTGGGGATTACAGAAAGCTTCTTGACATATTGGACAGAATAGATGAGGACTCAAAGCTGATGGATTGACGAACGTTCTAGAAATGTGGAGCGTAGTAAAACTTTTTACCTCTCATCTGGAAAAAGATTTGACTTTCTAGTGGAAGTTTTCTTGATGGAGCGACGTTGACCAGTCATTATATGACTAGACACACGACCTGAAAAATATCAGATGAGA